ATAAAAGTTAATGAACTGTATGGTTGAAAAGTTACGGACCTCATGAGATAGGTAGTTTGGATTAATTATTTAGGTACAACCCCACAACGTAGGAATTGCTTTAAAACTTTGTCATTCACATATATTTAAGTACAAGTTAAATGTACCAAATTTTCTTGTTAATAAATTTACTTTTCCATAGGATTGTGAGCGTGTGTTGTCGGGGATGAAAGGTACAACAACGAATTATTATTGTCCGTTCGGCTCGAGTTTTAATATGGGTTTCAAAGTACTTGTTTAATAGTGATTTTAAGTATTTATATATTGTCGATCTTACGGTATGTGTGTATAATAAGCGAAAAGCAAATTATTGATCCTATGAAATTTATTAATATAAAGTATATTTGACGATCTTAAATAATAAATTAAGCTTTTCAAAACAATTATAAATTGAACCCATCTCTTCTTCTTTCTGATCTATTAATGGAGGAGGCTAGCAAGAAAATGGAACCAAAACCTTGATGGGGTATTGTATCAAGAGATTACATTTAATAATGCTATATCAATCACACCAAAATTGGCTAGATGAAGGCATCACATAGGCTTCAAGGTGGATTTTATATCTCTAGTTTTATTGTGTACTAGTGGACGCACGTGCGATGCACGTGCTATAGGTTAATTGGGTATTTAATAGTGTGGAGTGATTTTAAGGTATTTTTTCCAAACCCAGATCACTTGTATCACTGTTGGAAATGAGGTCCTCAGAGGCCATGATACCCAGTTAATGTCTTATCTTTTGCCGACAATGCAGACAATATATGGGGCTCTTCTTAGTCTAGGAATAAACAAGGATGTATATGTGACAACGGCTCATTCAACTGGAATCTCAGGTAACNCAACATTTGACTTTTATCAATCATAACCTTTTTTAATTCACTTCCCCTCACAAAGAAGTTTGCTTTCAACTTTTCTCTCATCTCAACTGGCTCTTTTTCTCTCTTCTCTTGTGGCACCTCTCTCATTTTTCCCCTCTCAGCCACTTCACCATTTTCTCTCTTACTAACTAGCTCATTGTTTTCTCTCTTCTTAAGTGGCCTCTCTCTCTTTTCCCCACTCTCGGCCACCTCGTCATTTTCTTTCCTTTTTGCCAACTATCTCATTCTTCTCTCTTCCTCATTCCTCAATTTAACTTGATCTTCAAAAACTTATGTCGGTGTTAATGGCACAAGAGTAATAGACCTCCCCTCCTTGACAAAGCTATACAGGTTCCTATAACCATCATGTGTAACTCCCTTATCATATTGTCACAGCCTTCCTAACAAATTATGACCCACTTGCATAGGCCCCACATCACATACAACCTTGTCACTATAACTACCAATCGAGAAATCAATCATCACCCGTTTACTCACCTTAACCTATCCACTCTTATTCAACCATTATGATTTATAAGGCTTAGGGTGTTAAAACAATACTAAACCCAATTTTTCAACTAAGGTCGTGCTAGCTACATTTGTGCAACTCCCACCATCAATGATTAGACTACATACCTCATTGTGGATGTGACACCGGGTGTGGGATATGTTTTCTCGATGTTGCTCGGTATCATCCACCTTGACTTGAGTGTTAAGAGCTCTCATTGTGACCAGTAGCTCACCAACAACAAATTCTACCTTTCCCTCTCCATCAACCTCCTCCAATGCTGGCATATCGTCATACTCTCCTTCACTCTCACTCACCACCTCTCCATCATCCCGTAGAATCATTACCCTTTTGTTAGGACATTGAGAAGCAATGTGCCCCGTTCCCAGACACTGAAAAAAATTTTATGTCCCTATTCCTTAATTGTTATGACTCCATTTTGGGTACGGTTTTGCTAGCACTATCTTCCTTTCCTCGCTGCATTTCTGTCTTCCCTTTAGTTACTGCTTCATTCATCTTATTACCTTCCCACCGCGACTTCCAGTTTAGGTTAGAAGAGGAAGTGTTCACCAGCTACCTCGCAGTCCCCTTTCTCTTCAACTGTCTTTCCATTTTCATGGCTATATGCAACATATCTTCCAACTCTTCATAATGTTGTAACTCCACCACGTTAGCGATCTCCTTATTCAACCCATTCAAGAACCTAGCCACGGT